TAAATATCACAAACTGGAAAGGTTATGAAGGTGAGCCTAATACTAATATTCTATAATGGTCAGGGTGTCTGGATGCAAAAAATGCATAAATTCTCATATTTTAAAAAAATGAAGCAGAAAGTTTGAGTAGAGCTGAATTTGAACCAATTCTTTTTTGCTGCGTTCCTTACCTAGTATGTAGTTGTACAGTCTGTAAATTACTTAACCTTTCTGTTTTGGCTTCACCACCTTCTCAACCTAAATCATTACAATCCTGTAATGCTAAATTAGTAAGACTGTTGGCACATAGTCAGTGTTGGGTACTTCTTAGCCATTATTGCAACTATCATTATTATCATCAAAGAACTGACATTAAAATGCATGTTGATCCCTGCAAAGAGGAAAAGTGCTCTTTTCTCTTAATATTTATCACTGTTCTGTGATTTTTCTTTTCAGTGACTGAATGTGTATGGAAATATTTTGCTAAAAACAAAGCCATTGTGTCCTATCTATCTATCTATCTATCTATCTATCTATCTATCTATTTTATGAGAAATTGTCCTAAGAAGAAACGTACTACTGAACTGAAGTAAGAAGGAGACAAAACTGAAGATGTTGCTTGTTTCTTGGGAACCAGGAAGAAAGTAAGAGAGGTACACTGAAGTTTGCAGAAATGATGTCACACACATTAGTAATCATGAATGTGGGTCACAGAGGGTGTGTATAGAAGTGACAAGGACCCATAGTTTGGTAATACATTGGAGATCAAGAAGAACTTATTCTCTGAACAAGAGCTAAATTAGTCTTACCAGAGCTAGAAAACCTTTAATTTTCACTCATCAATTCATGCTGGTGCTGCATTTAGTCTCAGGGGCTGGACATTCAAGGAAGATTAAGCCAGAGTCCACCCTAAAATAATCTATGGGAAGTCACACACACAGTCAGAGATTCAGAATAGCAGAATCTTGGACAAGGAACAGTGGGATTTGGGGAAGAGCAATCATCTTGACTGAGAGAAGCAATGGGCTCAGCAGCGCATCGTCAGTTTGTGACTTGTCTTGGTTACTTTGTATTGCTGGGACGCGATGCCTGACACCCAACTCTAAGGAGGAAAGGCTGACTTTGCCTCACTGTTTGTAGAGGTGTCAGCCCACAGCCCTGAATGGCTCCAAGGCAGGGTGGCATGGCAGAGGAGAATGAGCTCATGGCCTGATGCTGGGAGGCAGAGAGCAGCCAAGAGAGGGCAGAAGGAGACAGACCCTTCCAGGCCATAGCCCTAGGGACCCACCCCTTCCAAATAGCCTTCACTTCCCAACATCATATTTAGCTAATCCATTAATGAGTATCATGCTCCATGATCCAAGCACCTCCCCAAATCTCACCTGTGCATTTATGAGGCTTTGGAGGGACATCTAGCTATACACTGTGACACGACTTTACCTCTTAACATGGCAGCACATTATAGGCTTTTCAGAATTATTTTCATCCTGAAACTGTCTGCCATTTTGCTTTCGTTTGAGTGACTCCCATTTCCTAAGAAATAATAACAACAGAAAAGACCCTTGGAACACTTCCAAGAGGTTTTTCCTTCTATCCTCTATGAGGACATGAACAAGAGCTGAGAAAAATCTGCTTCTTGCATGTTAATGGATTTTGGAGCTGAAAAGTGAAGGGGGCAGACAATTCCTGGAGTGCAGGAAGGGGGAAGAGTCAGGAGAAGGCTGGCCTGAGCTCTGGCTGTTTTCTAGTGTATCTTCTTTCCTCTCAGCCCTATTCTCTTCTTCTGATGCCCTTCTGACCATCATTCCCAGAAAAATCCATCATTTCTCTAGAAGCCCTGATTGTGGCTTCAGAAAGTATCTGCTTAGAAGTTGGCTATAAATGCTTGAGTGACCTATTCCAGGGAAACAGCCATCTTTGGAAGGAAAGTGAGGAAGAACAGACATCTAGCTAAGGGGTTGTCTCTTCAGAGACAGAATGGCAGGTCTGGACATAGGCCACTGAGGTCAGATCCTACCTCCTAACACTGAGCAAGTCACCCTACGTATATATCTATGTATGGTATCTTCTAAGAGCCTGACTTTTCAGACTATAGAAGCTTTGTAGCCAGGAAACTGAGTACTGACTGGAGGAAGCATCTTCATATGAGAACTGAGATCTGTATTTTTGGGAGAGTGAGGGAAGTGCTATTCTTAGGGAATTATGGTTCAGTCTGGTTTCCAGGGATGCATCTACCTGAAGTGGGCCTTGATAATTACCATAATTACTTCAGAGTACATAGAGCTGGGTCTGGTGAATTTTAAGACCTTGCCAGAAAAATGAGCACGTTTCCTTGAATTCAAGTTATTCTTCATGAGTTTAAATTAATATACTGTCTTTCCTTTCCTCCTTTTGTTTTCTTTCTTCTTTTTTAAACATTACCTCTTTACAGTTCAGGTTCTTAAGCCATTTTTATTTTTTACTTTGGATTTTTCCTGTTTTTAAAATATGTCCAATTAAAATGCAGGAAATGGGAGACAATCTCCTAAATGTTTCAGTGATTCTATAATAGCAACAGAACATTTTTGTTTTACTAGTATCAGGCTCATTCATCTCTGCCAAAATATAGAAAGTTGTCTTAAACACTTGAGCTTCACGGTGGGCGGTAGGAAGTGATATCAGATTCCATACCGGAGCTCATTTAAGTAAACAGAAGTTTACTATTATGAGAAGTAGACTTGAACATTCTCAAGTATCTCCTCTCATTTCACTTCTAAGTTGCACTTCCAGATAGTTGTACTACCCATAGCTTCCATTTGACAGGAAAATTCCAGGAGCTAGCAGAAGGGAAATATGGGTGCCAGTAGATCTACAAATACACATTTGTTATGGCATGGTAGAGAAAGCAAAGATATCTGTAGTCTAGAGTCTTCACATAGCAACTGAGATTACCAAAATATGCATCTAAAGACTTCCTATCTGTAGGAAGAGTAGATAATGTGAACATTTGCATGAGTTTCTCCTTACCTTGGGACAGTCCTTAAACTTAGCCTTCGTCAATCTTGACATGTTTCAGCTATATAGTTAGTAGCTATTTAAGGAACATTTATGGTTTTATTTTTTGATGTGATCTAACCAATATTTCTAAACAAAAGCAAAACATCTCACAATGTTAGTTTGAATTCCATCTATTTCACAAAACATGCCCTTCTTAATTGTTGATTTGTCCCTGTTTCTGCATTTATGTTGATTCTCTATGAGTCTTCCAGCCATATCCCAGAACTTAGTGGGAAGTTGTGCTTTTCTTTTTATATTTTCTTTTGTTACACTTTGTTGTAATTTGTAAATGTTCCCTAAGGTGATAGGCTTGGTCTCCAACCTGTACTGCTACTGGGAGTGGTGGAAGGAGGTGGCCTCTAGTGGAAGAAAGTTAGGTTATTGAGTGTATTTGTGAAGGGGATGCCCCCCCCCAGCTTTCCATCCACCCTGAGGGTGAACAGATCTTCTCTGCTATGTGTCTACCATGACATATTAGTTCACTACAGTACCAAAGACATGTAGCAAGATACCATGGATTGAGACCTCTGAAATCATGAGTGAAAGTGTCATCTTTATAAATTATCTCAGGTATTTTCTCACAGAAACAGTTGACTGACACACACTTAAAACAAAAAAGCAAATAAATCCCATACAACCTTTAGTGATAACTTTGAAAGCTGCCATACTCTTGTCAAGGGTCCAGAACAGAAATTCCACAGCTGGTTCCATTTGGCTGCCTGTCACGTGGGACCATAGCCCTCTTTACCTGATCTACCATCTGTTACCGTAGTGGTTAGGCAAGAGAAGAGCATAGTATTCTGAAGTCTGCACAGACAAAGCCAAAAATCTCTCAAGCTGGACTGTTCACTTTAAACTTGTTTACTGCAACATGAAAATTTCTCACAGTATAAACACCATGGAGACAATAATGTGTGCTGTTATAGCCAAGCAGGGAAAATTCTGTTACTACTCTAGGTTGCAAAGTGACAGGTGGTGATATTGGTGAGCAGCACAATGGCGTTGGCCTGGCTGGAGCATCTCCATTAGGAGGTAAATGCTCTTAAACATTGGAAGAGGAGACCAAGCAAAATCCTCAGAGAGCCTTAAGAGGTGATCATTGAAAGGTCAGATTAGCAATTTTCCTTTTTAATGTTCAAAACAAGTGATGAAAGTGGAGGGGAGATGCGACATCCATACTAGGCACGGTGGGCAAAAGCCTTTTGAAATCTTACACTGACAGTGGGATTCAGGGGAATTTTCACATTTCATGATGCTGACATATTCCTTGGAGAAGAAGCTTAGCTGAGACACCCAACTCCCCACTCTGCCCATACCATGATGCAAGCACCTGGATAAGTGACAATCTCTTTGTGCTTCTCTTCCTTTTTCTGCAAAATGAGAGATTTGGATGAACTGTCTTTAAGATGCCAGCCAACTCTGAAATTCTCTGATTCCAGGAGGGAAATTATGATAATAAGGCTGAGTTTAACTGCGATCTGTGGACAGCATCACACTGTTTTACAGTGCACATAATTGACCAGTCCATTTAACACAAGTCATAGTTCCTTAGACTAAGCCAGTCAAGAAACCCTTTTCAATTTCTTCCCTGTCTGCTCTAGGATTTTGTTATGACACCCGAGAAACACCGTCTTAGATAATTTGCCAAAAAGAGAGTTTAAAATCCCCTCCCCCCTTCCCATTTCATTAAGTCTCTCCACGGTGGGCTATCACGACATGCACTCGAGTGACCAGTGCTGCTAAGAAGTGTGGGATGAGTTAAGTAAAAGTCAGCTCATAGAACACCACTGTCCTTGCATTCCTACAGCACTGATTTACTATGTAGTCTTTCCCACAGCCTTTAAAATTAATACCAGTCACAGGGAGACCTTATTGGTGTAAGTATCTCATGAATACTAGAAAACTATCTGGAGAAATGACCAAGGACCGTGCAGAAGGTCACCGGAAGCCAAACGTGTAGTCACTGACAGTCAGAGGGCACTTACGGATCAAAGGCTGCAAGCAGAAAGTTAAGCAGGAGGCTGATGGACTGTTCCACGTGGATTTGGTGAGTGGTTGGCATCCGTTTATTGAGCTGGTAAAAAATGGTGGAGAGCACGGCCTCTAAGCGGGCCACGTTAAGCTCTATGTTTGGGTCCAAGTTGTTCAAAGCATTTTCTCGCAGTGCTTCTATGACGTTCCAAATGTCCACCAGGTGCACTACAATGAAAGCAGAGTTAGAACATCAGCTCAAAGTGAACGGAAAGGCAGATCTATTTCTTCACCTGCCCTTCCACCCTGGTTTATCTAGGATCCTCCCATGTGCTTGGCTGTTGCAGGAATTGACCTAAGTAAATGTGTATATAAGACAGTACATGATCTCGAGGACTTGGTGCACAATATACGATACCAAGCAAATGGTTGACTCAATTCTGCTCTTATTTGTCATGTTACATGTAAGAAAACGGAGCAGGGACATTAACTGACAATACAGAGGCCAGTGAAGGGCAAAATGGATATTTAAGTACAAGTTTATCTAGTTTAAAATATTTATCTGCCTTGCACACTGGTCCCTCCAAAAGAAAACAGGACCCAGAATTTAAATTTTAGTGTCTGAAAGGTCATCAAAATTGAGTAAAATATTTTCATTTATTTTTTTGAAACTATTTTCATTTATTTATATATTCCTTGGCAGTGTGCAGTTTGAAGCAAGCAAAAAGGAAAGTTGAAGAAGACAAGGGGAAAAGAACAAGCAATTAACATCCTGCAGTAGCAGAAGTAAGTAGTAGATCACTTACTGCCCTAACAACAAGCAATTTCTTGGCTACATAATTGTGCTGATGAGTCTTGATTGTCAACTTGATGAGAGGAAGAGTCGCCTGAAGAGGTGATTAGATTGTGAAGGAACTAAACTTATCAGTGAATTAACCACTGATGAGTTCATAGCGAAATGAGGTATCAGGGGGCCGGACCTGGTTTGGGGAGGTGGGGCATGGGCTCACGACTCAGAAACTACACTGTATCTGGTTCCTGGTCTCTTTCTCTTTCCAGTCAGGTCTGCTCATGGCTGCCACGAGTTGATTGGCTTTCTTTTGCCACCCCTTCTGCCATGCTACGATGGGTCTGTTTTGTAGCCAGCCAGCCATGAACCGAAATTTCTCAAACTGTGAGCTAAAATGAACTCTCTTCTCTTGGGCTGTGGGTGTCTGCCAGTTTTGTCTCAGGAATGGGAAAGATGGCCAATACAATCACTGATGAGCTTATGTAATGCATTAAGTCATGGTTACTTTCTCTGGAATAGCCAAAAAGTCTAGTTTTGTTTTTTCTCTTTTGCCCTGAAGTATTACTAGGGCACTGCAGAAACCGTCACCATCACCAAGATAATGCACTTGTCCATTGGCCTATAGCTTTCCCCATGCCCCCTGCCATCCATTCCCATCGAAGCAGGCAGCCTCTCTCAGATTCACTTGCTGTCACGGTTTTCTAGAATTCTAAATACATTCTTCCTGGAATGTATATTTTTTTATCAGGATGTTTTCATTTATTGTAACTATTTTAAGAATAATGTATGTTGTTGCATGCATCAATAGTTTGGTCCTTTTGATTGCCATGTATTATGTCCTCATATGGATATATCCCCATTTGATTGTCAGCCCACTTGTTGATGGACGTTGAGTTGATCTAAGTTTTGAGTTTTGTGAATAAAATTGCTATGAACAATCATACATAAACCTTCGGAGGGATATATGCTTCTATTTATCTTCTTAAAAATTTAGAAATGAAGATCTAGTTACATAGTTTAACATGTGAAGAACCTTCAGATGGGTTTTCCAAAGTAACTGTGTCATTTCATGGCCCCATGAACAGGATATAAGAGTTCCAGTTTCTCCCATATTTTCACCAAATTTAAGGTTCACTTTTCAGTACACTCACAATTGCAAATATTTTGTCTTTTCTCAATGAAGTATATATGTATGTTTCACTTCCTGAGAAATGCAATACTACATATGATTTTTCACTAACTGTTTTTGTTTCCTACATCTTTTTGCTCTTAACTTGGATGTTTGCTATTGACTTTTTTTTTTTTTTTTTTTTTTTTTTTTTTTACCCAGGGGTGTCTTACTACTAAACTTTATCTCCAGACCTTTTGTTTTTGATTTTGAGACAGTCTCAAACTCGCAATCTTCCTTCCTCAGCTTCTCAAGTAGCTGGGATTACAGGTGCGCATCACTGCTTCTGAATTGCTATTGTTTTTAATGATTATTTATTGTTTTATGTTATGAAGGGAAGGGAACTGTTCTCAACCTCAAGCTCTGGACTTGGAGCTCCAAATCTTGACTCCTTCACTGCAAGTGCATCATCTCCCTGTCTTTGAGATTCAGAGTCTCACGATCCTCATGTATAAAATGGAGATGATGTTTCTTACATGGAAAAATAATGAGGTAAAAAGTGGGTCGCAGACAATATATTACATATGAACAAACGAATAATGTGAGTCATATCAAAAGAGAAGCTTGTTGGTGTATCTCTTGTTCGGGTCGGATAAATAAAAATCACTTATCAACTGAAATATTGCAAATACTTATCAGATTTGAAAAATTCAGGTTTAAGTGAATTCAAATTTAATCTTTTCTATATATCAAACATATTACACAAAATTACTTGCATTTATTATCATTATTTATCTAATTTTTAAATTTAGCAAGCAAGTTACTTTTAGAGAAATGTTATTTATACGCAGAGCTTTTTAATTTTAATTCTTGAGAGGAATATCTGGGGTTGCTATAGTTGTTCCTTACATATTTAATCTACAAACTATCTGGATCTAGTCTTGGGGATCTGTCTCAGTTCAGGATGTGAAGAGAACAGTGATGGTGAGGTCTGGCCTGCTGTACTGATTGTTCTCTTGGCCCACGTGGCCTCCAAAAGGAGGCTACTGGCCCATTCTTAGCTGGCCCCTGGCCATAGATCTTGGGAAGCACGCACGTGGCAAAGGAAATGTGGACTGTGAACTTGACCACAGAAGGAAGGCAGTAGGAGCCAGGTAGGAGACCTGGCTGGTGGCAGAGAGAATCTGAAGCCAGCCTGACTGCCTTCCTTCCTTCCTTCCTCCCTCCCTCCCTTTCTTCCTTCCTTCCTTCATTCCTTGTGAGCCTTTTATAGGCACAGGGAGTCTTATGGAGTCCTACCCGCCCAGGGGAGTGGGCAACATTTCACCTGATGGTCCCCATGGGGCACTCAGCCTCAGCCTACAGAGCCTACACTCATCTATTCTCTGCCAAATTTCCTGGTTTGGGGTTCCCTTCCCTGGTGAATGGTCCCATCTCTCCCTCCTGACCCTCATCTGGAAGCTGGATTTCTTTCATTCTTGAGTCCTGCCAATGATCTAGTCATATGGACTCTATCTCCTTAATGTGACTTTAGTCCTTTATGACTACCATCCATCTCCTTCACCCTCAAACTCTCTTGTTCTCTTATTAGTTGACTGAGCCTGACTTCACTCTTTCTTCTCTCCAATTCTTTCCATATAATTGAGCCAGAGTGATATTTCTGAAATGTAAATCTGACGTATCACTTGTATCCTGCTTAAAATCCTTTAATAACTTCCCATTAATTTGAAATCCAAGGGTGGCTTTCAAAAGTCCTTTTCCCCTGCAGTCTTGGGGATTAAATGCAGGGCCTTCACATCCCTACATCCCTAGCCCATTTTATTTTTTGAGACAGGGTTTTGCTCAATTAATAAATTGTCCAGGGGGCTTGAATTTACAATCTTCCTGTCTTAGTTTTCCAGAATCCTGGGATTACAGGCATGTACCACCATGCCTGGCTTGTTTCTGCTTTGAAAATATGGCTTCTTCTTATTTCTTATCTACTTCTCATTTGTCATAGCTTACTGTCAACACCACTTCCACAGGGACCCTGTATTACCAGGTTTTGATTCTCTCCCATGTGCCACTTAGGAACCCCTGTTCTTCCTCAAACAGCATTTAGTGGACTTTTTCTCTGTGGTTGGGCCGGAGGTCTGTTCCTGCACTGTAAGTGTACAGGAAGAGACTGTGTGTGTTGTGAGAGCTGCTCGTACCTCCTGCACTCCTCAAATACCTCAAAGACCTGAAATCAATATCTATTGGCTAAGTGAGAAAATGACAAGGAAGTGACTTAGTGAAGTAAAGTTAGGAGCAGGAAACCATAGTTGCTAAGAATCATATAAGTGCTGATCTGACTCATAGATACATCACCAGGGAAGCTAGTTTACTTCATGAGTCCTTCATCTAAGAAAAGTGGGACTGATAATACAACTACCCTTGTACGATTACAATGAGGAGTAATGAGATAACACTTGAAAAGCACTTGGAATTAGGCATGCCACATAGGAAATAATGGTGTATTATTCAGATAAAGAAAGTATCTAGAAATCACACAGAAGTTATTAAAGATAAATATGCCACATTTGTGTTCTCCTACATTCAGGTTCAAATATAAGAAAAAAAATACGGAACTGTTTTTAAAGCTGGCCTGTAATTTCAGCTACTTGGGATGCTGAGGCAGGAGGATCAAAAGTTGAAGCCCACTATGGGGAAATTAGCAAGACCTTGTCTCAAAATGGAATAAAAGGAGCTAGATATGTAGTTTGGTGGTAGAGTTCTTGCGATATGAGGCCTGGGTTTAACTGCTAATACCACAAGAAAAATATACTAGTTATGGTTGTATAATTACACATGACTTAAATAAAATAAATTTAATAATTATTTGCAAGACACTGTAGTAGATCCTTGGGGCACAGGAAATGTACAACTTCCAGATGTAGTTTCTGCCTTGGGGAGCTAGAAGTCTGATGGGGACACAGATGTGATTAAAAAAAAGAAGCACAAACCATGTTCCAGTCACAAAAACAGATAGGTATTCATTTTAGTTGTCATAAAGTCTAACTTAGTAGTGTGTGAATTGGTTTTGCCATCTTGGACAATTAGAAATCTAGTGAAGGATGCCATCTTCCATAAGAGTTTCTTGAAAATTTTACTTTAAGGGTAACTACTTTGGGAGACGTAATCACAGTTCCTGAAAAGGGTCCTGGCAGTGGCTGGGTTCAGACAGGCTTCCCTACTGGCCATCCATATGACTGAGGGCAAATCACTGACATCGTTACATTTCAGTTTCCTCATCTGTAAAGTGGGGACAACAATAATTTCCATTTTAGTTTTATTGTGGGGTTAAATGAA